AAATTGTAGATTTTAAAAGAGATTTTGAGTTTTTATAGACACTGAACCCTTGGTTTTGTTTTGTTTTTTCATGACAGGGTCTCTCTATGCAGTCCTAGCTGTCCTGAAACTTGCTCTGTAGACCAGGCTGGCCTCAAACTCTGGGATCCACTTGCCTCTGCCTCCTGAGTGCTAGGATTAAAGATGTGTACCACCAATGTCTAGTCAAAAATTGAACTTTGAAAGTATTTTAACTGTGAAGACTGAGGCCTTTACGTCTATAATGTGTTCCTTCTTGTGATGTTTATTAATCTGAGATCTTCACGATGAACCAAAAAAAAAAAAAAAGGGGAAGGTTATGTCTTAAACTATGTGTGTCAGTGTGTCAAGTCTACAAGGGTCAATGGTGTAGGTATATACACAACCAACTGCAGGGCAGCGAGGGTATAAGGAAGCAGGATAGGATTTCACTCACAGTCTCTTCACATCCCCATTTGAAAGAATCCCAGAGTTGGAGCTGGAGAGATGGCTCAGTAGCTAAGGGCACGTGCTGTTCTTGCAGAGACCTGGGTCTGGTTCCCAGCACTCGCATGGTGAGTCACAACCGTCTGTGACCCCACTTTCCAGGAGATCTGATGCTTCCTCCTGACCTCCATAGGCACCATGCACACACATGGTGTGCTCACATACATGCAGGTAAAACACTCATACACCTAAAATAAAATAAAGTCTTTGTCTTTTTTTAAATGCTGCAGAACTCTCTTCTCGGGCAGTCACGTGGCTGACCCATGACTATGACACAGAACGAACATCCAGCAGCTTACACAGTGCGGTAGCTGCTTTGCTCTTCAGGTAGGTAGCTCTTGATACTAAGTGTATTCCTTGCTTTTGATGTTCACTGCTGCTTTGCTTCCATGTGTGTCTGTGTGACGGTGTCAGAGCCCTAGAACTGGAGCTACAGACAGGTGTGAGCTGCCATGCGGGTGCTGGGAATTGAACCTTGGGTCCTGCGGAAGAACAGGCAGTGCGCTCAGCCGCTGAGCCATCTCTCCAGCCCCGTGTATTTCCTTTCTTTACTCCTTCCACTCCTGGCCCTCATGAGGGTCAGTGAATCCTCAGGTGTGTTTACCTGGTGGTGTCGTCTTAATCCAAAACGTAACCTGAAGATTTCATTCAGGAGTGAGCAGTCCCCGCTGAGGCTTGCAGCTCGAATCTGTCACAAACACAGAGGGCACATGAGAGGCAAGGGGGCTCTGTCTATGCACAGCCAGCAAACGCTTAAAACTGGGAAGGAACAGAAAATCAGCATGTGTGTTTCTGAGACCCCCCAGCACATCTGAAACTTTCTTCTAAATCACTTCTTTTTTTGTTTGTTTGTTTGGTTGGTTTTGGTTTTTCAGGACAAGGTTTCTCTGTGTAGCTTTAAAGCCTGTTCTGGAACTCGCTCTGTAGACCAGGTTGGCCTTGAACTCACAGAGATCCGCCTGCCTCTGCCTCCCGAGTGCTGGGATTAAAGGTGTGCACCACCACCGCCCAGCTCTAAATCATTTCTTTAAACACTGCTGGCAAATCACAGAGAAACCCTGTCTCAAAAAAAAAAAAAAAAAAAAATCTGCTGGCAAAGGCAAAATTCCAAGAGCGAGCTGCACCAATCAGGGGCACTGTGGTAGGGGAGTTCAAACGCTCACCAAAGGGAATTTTCTAAACATTACCTGGAGCCTCACAGTCAAACAGTTTCTTCTGGAAAAAGGAGTCAGAGAGGTGGACCTCACAGTTAAAGTTCATGATCTCTAGAAGATACAAACACTTCTAGAAGTTACCAAAGGGACTTCAAGAAAACATTTTCCAAAGAAGGTGACTAAAACCAGCATGTGATGCTGGCCACAGCCCAAACCTGAGACACTCTCAGACTGCCTCCAGCTCTGGGAGTCTCCTCCTCCAGGCCCTTGGCTGTGTGTGAGATGTCACACGATACAAAACTGTAGTGATATTTCATTTGTATTTTAATAAATACAGCTTACCTGAAGATCAGAGAGTAAAACAGCCCCACCGGTCAACCCTACAGACCAGGCAGTGGTAACACACACCTTCAATCCCAGGAGTCACACTAGTTGCCATAGAAACCAGGTAGTGCATGGCTTTAATCCCAATGGTGCACGCCCTTAATCCCAGCCCTGGCAAGGATTATAAAATGAGAGGAGACAGCTCTCAGATGCAGTCTCATTCTGAGATTCCTGGAGGCAGGATCACCATTTCAGACTGAAGTCGAGGTAAAAAAATCAGTGACTAGCAGCTTTGCTTTTCTGACCTTCAGGTTGAACCCCAATTTCTCTGAGTTTTTATTAATCGTGCATCACAAAACACAAAGAATAAAGAGCACCCTACTAGAGTTAGCACACAGTTTCTGATTTATGATGTTAACAGAAATTTTTTGATCTGTAAATTCCTTAATATCTCGCTAGAATGTGCTCTTCAAAGGCTGAAATTCAAGACTAAATACACATCTCCCCAGGAGCACACTGACTTCTGAGAGCAGCCCAAGCCCAGGCGGGATAAGTGTCCTTTCACATGGCACTGTTGAGGCTGATGCTCTCCTCCTGAGCAAACAATGGCTTTGCCTACGAAACACAGCAAGCTAGTTAAGAACCCAGGTGACCCCAGCTCCACCACTAACTCTAGACTCCAAACAACTGTTTCACTTTGCACAAACAGCAGACACGGATAGTAAGTATCTCCCTCGATGAACCGCCGTGAAGGTTAAACGAGAATCTGGAAGGACTGGGCACACGATGCTGCGGCAGATTGCTTACCCAGCATGCACTGGGCTCTGGGCTCTGGGCTCTGGGCTCTGGGCTCTACCCCAGCACTGTAAAAGCAAATCCAAGGCTGGGAACATAGTTCAGTTAACAGAATTTGACTAGCATGCAAGAGGCCCTGGATTCAAATCCCAGAACAATAAAAATTAATATTTTTTTAAATCCATACAATCATGACATTTAGCCCTCAGTGTACCCCAAGAAAAGTGGTTTATTAGGATTTATTATGACTTAAATCAATTGTTACTTTTTTTTTTTTTTTATTTTATTTATTTATTATGTATACAATATTCTGTCTGTGTGCATGTCTGCAGGCCAGAAGAGGGCACCAGACCTCTTTACAGATGGTTGTGAGCCACCATGTGGTTGCTGGGAATTGAACTCAGGACCTTTGGAAGAGCAGGCAATGCTCTTAACCACTGAGCCATCTCTCCAGCCCAATTGTTACTTTTAATAGGTCTTGAATATAACATTTATAGCAATCTAAGAAAAGACCATGTTAAAGTCACAACAGCAAGAAAAGGAATATGCTTAAAGAGTTGCATCTGAATAAAGAGCTCAGTGTTCTGGGTGAAAATAAATGTCTTCTATGATGAAACTCACCTCTGAGCATGCCAAATGTCTGACATCGGTAAACCAGTGGACGTGAGCCCGACAATGATCAAAGGCATGAATGAGCTCATGGGTAACGACTCTGCTCATGTGAGCCTGATTTCGGATATTATTCTGGCACAAAACAATCTAGGGACATGAAAACAAAGAAGGTTGCTCACTTCTGAAATATGCTACTTCTGCAGACACCACTTTCTCTCTTGCACACCACCTACAGGAAGCCTCTGCTCAGGCTTCTCCTCACAACCCCTCCCTCTCTCTCTAGGCCCATGCCAGCACTCCAGTTAGGGATGTATTCAAATACTGCACCCCTGAGCTGACCACACCAGTTCATCTCGGATGCCACAGCTCTGTGGGTCTAAGAATCAGCTTTGGGAAGAAACAGGCATATTTAAATCACAGCTCCAGGCATTGAGCAAATTTCTTCGTATATATTCTTTTTCAATTTTTTAGAGAGTAATACGGACTTAAGCGTGAGTGGCCCCAGAGACCAGAAAAGGACCTTATAGGCCCTAGAGCTGAGGTTACTGGTGACTTGAACCACCCGACAAGGGCGCTGAGATGTGAACTCTGAAAGAGCCTTAAGTGTTCCAGGCCATTCCTCCTGATCCCTGAGCAAGTTTCTTAGCCTCTCTGTGCCTCAGTTTCCCCAACTGTAAAAAAGGAGGATTATTAGCGGAGAACTGGGAACACAACATACGTGAGAACATATGTGAAGTACGTCTTGACTGAGCAGTAGCTGACAGACACCACTTCCATGCAGCTAGAATGTGGAAAAATTCCTCAGAAAGACTGTCAGAAAAGAGAACAAAAGGCCAGTGGCATGCTAAGTAGGACTCTGTAAGAATAAGGAAGATGCCAAGCGGGGTGGTGGTGATGCACACATTTGATCCCAATACTCAGGAGGCAGAGACAGGCAGAGCTCTGTGAGTTCAAGGCCAGCCAGATCAGAGGGCGTTCTAGGACAAGCTCCAAAACTACACAGAGAAACCCTGCCTCAAAAAAGAAAAAAGAATAAGGAAGACATAAGAGTCCCAATCATGACAGTCGCATTTACCACATTCTTGACATTCAGTAGGTACCAGATACTTTATATGCATGCATCCAACATAAACTTACTCAACTAATATTCATTAAGATCTAATAAGCAACATATAATCTACTAATGGAGAGAGAAATTAATAAGTATTTACCAAAATGATTTTTTTAAATATTTTATTTATTTATTATGTATACAGTGTTCTGTGTGTATGTCTGCAGGCCAGAAGAGGGCACCAGACCCCACTCCAGATGGTTGTGAGCCACCATGTGGTTGCTGGGAACTGAACTCAGGACCTTTGGAAGAGCAGGCAATGCTCTTAACCACTGAGCCATCTCTCCAGCCCCTACCAAAATGATTTTAAAAAATGGTCCTGAGCAAACACAATGAGGATGCCAGGTGCTGTGGAATGTTAGTTGAAGATGTGTTACATTTGTTTCTGCTGTGGAACATTTGCTTAATCATACAAGTTTGTGTTACATTCTTTATGCTGCATTTGTTTAACTCTGTGAAGCTGAAGGAGCAAAACAAACTCCATTTCGAGAAAGAACCCCAATTTAGGCAGGGCCTAACTAGGGGGGTTGAATGCAGCCCAGCAAAGTAATAAACATTCCCAAGAAACTGTGCCAGCCCTGGTCAAAGTGACCCCACTAGGGTGTCCAAACAGCATCTGCTTACATCTGCTTGCTTCAAATGTCCTTGTTGATATCTGACTAACCACTATTTTGAAATTCTCGTCTGCCGACAGTTGCTGTTTTGAAATTCCCCTATACCCTAACCAACAAACTCAAAGGTTGTATACTTTTACCCAATCCTGAAATGCCAAGGTTTGGGCCACCCTGGTTGCAGTTTTCCCTTTAAAATCCCTTACCCTGAGGGCTTGTGGCTGTTTCCCCCACGTACTGTGTCGGTGTGTCAATAAACCCCAGTGTGTTTGCATCGGATACCAGCTCGTTTGGGGTTTCCATCTGACATAGGCACAACACAGCTGTGCTATTTTGCCTGTCTAAAACACCTGATGGTCTAATAAAGAGCTGAACGACCAATAGCCAGGCAGGAGAAAGGATAGGTAGGGCTGGCAGGCAGAGAGGATAAATAGAAGTCTGGGAAGAGGAGAGGAGGATGTGAGGGGCAGCCACCCAGCTACACAGCCAGTCACAGAGGAAGAAGTAAAGAAAGGTATATAGAAATAGGGAAAAATAAAAGCCCAGAGGCAAAAGGTAGATGGGATAATTTAAGTTAAGAAAACCTGCAAGAAACAAGCCAAGCTAAACCCAGGTATTCTGAAGTAAGAATAACCCTCCGTGTAATTCACTTGGGAGCTGGGTGGCGGGCCCCCAAAGAGCAAACAGTAAAAGAGTATTAAAAAAAAAAAAAAACAGCAGCCAGGCCTGATCTGGAGAGCTGGGATAGGCTTCTCTGTGGCAGGAATGTTTAAACTTAGACCTATGGTGTTGGGGATGTAACTCAGCTGGTAGAGTGCTTGCCTAGCATGTCCCAGGCCCTGGGTTCTATCACCCAGCATTGTTCAAACCATGCATGGCAGACCAGGTATGGAAGACCAGGTGTGCCAGACCAGGTGTGACAGACCAGGCGTGGCAGGCCAGGCGTGTCATCCCACCACTGGGAGGTAGAAGCAGAAGAATCAGAAGTTCAGGCCAGCCTGAGCTAGGGAGTGTCTGAAAAATAAACAAACAGACAAACAGGGCAGGAAAGACAGCTCAGTGGTTAAGAGCACTGGCTACTCTTCCACAGGACCCAAGTTTAATTCCCAGCACCCACATGGTAGCTTACAACCATCTTCCCCCGTTTCCTTCAGGCTTAGGTGGGCACCAGTCACACGTATGGGGTACAGACATATATACAGTCAAAACAGCCATGCAGATAAAATAAAAATGAGAACTTACACTTGAAAGAGAGCAGGGGAGTGGGTAAATGAGAGAGTTTGGAGGGAGGGAAGGGAATGGGGAAATGATGAAAGTAAATTCTAATCCCCAAAAAAATGTTTTAAATTATTTAAATAAAAAAAAATATTTTAAGAGTTAATCAAGACCTGACCTAATAACTGAGCGGGAGTTAAATTTAAATAGAAAGAAGGAAGGGGGCACCATACTCAAGGGGAGAAGAAGGGCTGGAAGACCAGAACAGACAGAAGCTGAAAGCAGGGCTGAGCAAAGCCGCAGACAGGGGCCACAGAGCTGAGCCAGGCCAAGTCTCACAGCCCTTGTTTGCATTCTGGCAGTGGTGAGAAGCCTCTGAAGAGGGTGTTGAAACAGGGGCATGCTCTTCTGTTTACCCTCAAGACTGCAGCCAGAAGAGTAAGTGAGAGATGACCACAGCTGAGCTCAGAGAAACTTGATGGAGGCCATGGGGTACCCTCGGCCAGACACAGAAGGTAGGAGCTGAAAGATAATTTAGGGGGAAACTGAACAAAATCTAGTGACGAATTGAAGATGAGGAAGGAACCAGAAGTATCTAGAAATTTCTGGTTTAAACGGTAGAAATAGCTACTGAGAGTGTAAAACCAAGTGGAGCATTATGATCCAGAACATGGGAGATGGAGGCAGGAGGATGAGGAAGGAGCAGAGTCTCAGCAACATTGAAACCAGCCTAGGCCTCATCTACATCAAGACTAGCCTGAGCTACATCAAGTCCTATCTAAAAAAAAACAGTCCCAGCTACATGGAGACCAGCCTGGGCTACATCAGGCCCTGTCCAAAAAGAAAACGCAGAAGTGGTGGGGAAAGAAACCCAGGATAGGGCAAAGACAGGGGACAGTAAAAATCACGAATCTAAACTTGGACATAACGAGCGCAAGGTATCTTGAAGACACTCCAAGCGGAAGTGCCAAGTGAGATCTGAATACACCGGTGACCATTCAACACAGAACTCTGACCTAAAAGAGGAACACAACCCCTGGGCAGAGCACGGAGGAAGAGAAAGGGCTGAAGATCAACATTTAAGGGCTAGAAGGGACATCAGTGAAGAAAAGTACACAGGAGAACGTGCACAAAACTGCATGGCAGTGTTACCAGCCAACATTCTGCAGACTCCATGCCCTGGCGGGTCTCCGCAGTCACTTGGATCTTGAGAAGCTTGTAAATGTCACCAGCAGAGAATATTTACATCAGCACCGCACACAACTACAAGGCTAGAAGCAGTATTACTAGACAGGCTAAGCTCTAATGAGGACACACAGTGGAGGAGCAGACAGTGGTGATTTCGGCGGAGAGGGCACACAGCAGCATGGAAACCCTCCCAAAGAAGGAACTCACGGGAGACTATCTACTGAAGAGCTCACAGTTCACAGAAGCACACGCTGAGTCCACAAAGCATTCTGTACAACTCAAGGTAGTCTATGCATGAAACAACAGCAAGGATCCAAACAACGCAATATTGGACTGCATGGGTGGGCGGGAGAACTCAGAAGAGCAAGGGATAATGCCCACAGTCAGGATAAGGGATGAGTCAAGAGAACCACACAGTATCTGAAGTCCTGAGAACATTGCACTCCTCAGAAGTTTACCTTATTGAAAGTAAACACATAGGTTTTCCAGTTTCTTGGATAAATAAAAGACTTCATAATAAAAAGTCCAATTTGACAGGATGGAATAGTGAACGACTGTGTTTAACTCCGCTGAGAGCTGAGAGTTTGAAATGTTCACTCTTTTTTTTTTCCTGAGAAGGTGTCTCTAATCCAACTGTCCTCGAGCTTTCTGTGTAGCCAAGGATGGCCTTGAACTTCTGGCCCTCTGCCTCCCCCTCCTGAGTGACAGAATTACAGGCGTGCACCACCAAGCACAGATTATGCAGTGTTCAGGATGAGCTTGGGGTCCATGTACATCAGGTAAGGCCTTGACCAACTGAGCTACGGCCCCAGCTCCCTAACGCTCACTCTACTTAGCCACTGCAGGCAGTGGACAAACTTATCAGGAGCCACCGAGAGCTGCCAGTGTTGCGGTTACCAATTTACCAGTGAGGAAACTAAGAATAAGAAAGACAATATTGTGTGGCTGAATCCCACAGCTAATGAGCAGAGGGACCAGGATTCCGACCCTAACTCTAAAGCCCACAGTGCTCACCCATATTGCCGTAGACAGTTATGAAAAGCCAAATACACAGGAAATTCTCCATGAGAAAGCACTGAAGTGGAGTTAAACGTAGATTAGACACTCAAATTGGAAAAGCTGCATGCAATGACCTCCATCCTGTTACCTAATCCACCTGCCACCTCCAATGCTCCATGAAAACCCCAGTGACTCACAACTCATAACAAAATCAAATGTTCAGCTAACTGAATTCTCAGCACCATTCTAAAAGATAGATGCAGTTGCTATCTATAACACGAAAACTCCTCCTCCTCCATTCGTGCCTTAGCTTATGTGGGAATCTCGGCATTCACTGCTGCCCAGTGCACCACGCACATTTGCTTCTGGTTCTAGAGCCCTTCTTTCTCCAGCTCTGCCACACAGCGAGCCATTCCTAGTATCCTCTGCCTGTGCAGAGACTTCGTGTTGTCTAGCTGAGTCTGTTAGCTTTCAACCAACACGTCACTGTCCTTCCTGCCGTGGTGACCACCTGCCCTAGTTTGGACCTTGACTCTCCTCCACAGGCCCAGGAATTTTTCTTTTTCTTTTTTAAATGTCTCTATGTGTTTTGTCTGCACACATGTCTGTGCACCACCACAAGCATGCCTGCAGGGGCCAGAAGAGGATGTTGGGTCCCCTGGAACTAGAGTTAAGATGGTCGTGAGCTGCCAAGTGGGTGCTGGGCACTGAACCTTGTCCTGTCGAAAGCAGTCAGTGCTCTTAATCGCTCTCTTCTGCCCCAAAGGATTGGTTATCCTACGTACAACAAGTCACTGGGTACAAGGGGGCTATGGCGACCTTGATGCCAGTGGACATAGCCCCACTATGAAGTATTGACTTGACACACACCACAAGGACAGTGGGGTCAGGTGACCACGGGCTGACTCCATAAACCGAAATAACCCATTCCTCTGTATTAAGCTCAGTTTCTCAGCGTCTTGTTACAGGAACAGGAAGTTACCACACTGATCCTAACCTGCTTCAAATTTCCTGTTTAAGGAGTTCCTGTCTTATCTCCTTTGGAAGGGTACCACGCCCTGAGACTTAACACCGAGACTGATCTGGTTTTTTTTTTTTTTTTTAAGTCCTTGGCAAAGTCTACCAAACAGAAGGCTCAGCGTGTGAAATCAGCAAGTATCTGCTGGGAGGAGAGGGAAGAAGAGGATTGGGCAGAGACCCACCTGAGACGCTGAGGCATCGAACCCTCCGCTGACGTTTCCGTCACAGTCTTCGCAGGAGAAGTGTCTCCCTTTGTTAACAGCGCTGGAATGGAGAGATGTGAGCAGCGTGTATGGCACACTGTGTATGGCACAGCCCTCCCGGCACTACCGCCTGCAGAACCCTGGCAAACAGTCTGGTCTCAGCCTTCTCGCCTATAGGCGAGTAGAGATCGCCTCTGCAGATTCCACCCTACTTCACAGTCTATAATGTCCATCAAGGAGTCGGTCACCTGACGAGGACCACACCGGAAATGAGCCAGGACAAAGGCCAGCCTGGAGGACATGCAGCCTGCCATGTCCAAAGTGAGAAATCCCAAGGATGAGAGCTCTGCAGTGTTAGCTCTGGGAGCTCCAGAAGACATAGTGGCATTTCTGAAAAGACTGACTTACCAACCTGAGTGTTTCATAGCATCAAGGAGAACTTTGACGTATGGGTCTACAAAGACAGAAAGAAGTATGGCATTAGAAAAGGCAGCACCAAAAAACCATCTAAATCACAGACATCACACCAAAATGGCGCCTACAGACGAGGCTGGCTTCATTTAAACGACTCAACACTGGATCACAGCGCATATTGGAAGACCAGGAGAGTCTTGCGCCACAGTCAGGAAAAAAAAAAAAAAAAAACAAAAACAAAAACAAAAAAACAGCATAGTGTTGAGATGTGAGGACTTGTAGATTTTGCCTACACTGTTCTCCGTGGCAACATCAGGCACCACTCTGAGGACCACATCCCAAATAGGGCATTCCAAGAAAAGGACATGCCAACCAGTCTGGCACCTGGAAGAGTGTGAGTCTGTGGTTAATGGGGGGGGGGGGGG